CGGATAAAATGAGATTTAAAGGCCTGATGTGCAGGGTTCTGTGAGAGTCAAATGAGAGTGTGAGTGACTTACAGAGAAGGTAAACCCACCTGGAGGAGGCTCTGAAGCCCTCCCTGGTCTCGTCCATTTGCATGGACAGCACATCATAGTTCAACAGGATTGAGGATACCATGGACAAAAGTTATAAAGGTGCCGCTGTCATGTTGTGGCTAAGACTATCCGCAAGTTGGAACTTGGTCCTCACAGTGGGCACGTGGCCTCATAGTAGAATGGATGCTTTCTAAATTCCATTAGGGTTTGATCATGAAAACCAGACCTCTGAAGCCTTGCAGCCCTCCCAGGAAAGCAGTGGGAGAGGAGAGAGCGGGTTTGCCTACTGACAAGCTGTACAGGGGCAGGGGGCTGTCCGTGGGAGGGTCCTGTGGCAGACACATCCAAGAATGAGCCCACAGCAGCAGGGACATGGAGCGGAGGGGCAGAAGGACAGCCAGGGCAACCGTCCAGAGCTGGCTGGCGTGGCCTGTCTGCCTGGGTCCCTGCCTGGATGCCAGGACACGTCTTTTGTTTCCCCCTTTTCTGACTCCACATTCCTCTATTTTCTCTCAGTGTCTTTAGCTGTCAGGAGAAATCACTCTTGACTTTAATGAAGATAGGGAGGAAATACTTCTATTTTTTTAACCATAAGAGACTTTGAACACTGGACACATCTAAATGCTTTAATGTCTTAATTTTGTCCTCTTGAGGATCACTCTGCCTTTATAAATGTAAGTTTAAAGTCATGTTGCAATTTATTTCTAAAAGACTCATTTTGTGGACCACAGAACTTCCCCTGCCCAGGGCACTGGGCCTTTCCTGGTGTCCGCACAGCGTCCTGTCCTTAACACTATCAGAGCCCTTGTGGGTGGGCTTCATGATGGTCTGTTTTGTCCCCCAGCAGAAGTGGGTGCTTAAAGAGCAGGGAGTTTTGTCATCCTCATCCTGGTGTGCCCAGACTCCAGGGCAGAGCTTTATAACCCCTGGGTGGTTGGCAGCGTTGTCTGAATGATTCACTCACAGAACTGCTTTGCTCTCTTCCTGCCTGGGCTTCCCTCCTCATTTCTGTTTCCCCAGGACCAGCACGAGCGGAACCACATTGCAGGGTATTGGAAGCAAGTCGGGCCGATAGCCGTCGGCTCTTTCTGCCTCTTTGTATTCGACATGTGTGAGAGGTGAGCCGGGGCCCCTGAGTGACACGAGCATTGCCGTGTCCAGGCCGTCGCTTAGAAGGCGTGTCTGTAAAGAGAGTGGTGGTCGGGAACTTCAAGGATGAAGGCCTCGGACGTGGCCACATCCTCAGATAGACGGATTCAGACAAAGGCACAGCTGTCCCAAGTTGCACGACGTCTGGGCTGATCATGTTCTATGAGCTCTGCTTCTTGAGGTCTCCCCGGGGTTTCTCAGCCTCAATACAGACCCTGCCCTCCAGCTGCAGAGCTGTGAATGAGTGGAAAGGACACCCCCCCTGCCTTTGTGTTAACCGCGTCTCATTCTCTCCGCAGAGGGGTGCAGCTCACTAATCCATTCTACAGCATCTGGACTACAGATGTGGGGACAGAGCTGGCTGTATCCTTCCTTGATGGGCTCGGGATTTTATTTCTTCCCCCAGCCACCCGGTCCCCAAGGTCATTTTCTGAGACTGCTGATTGGCTCCACATGTGCTCAGCCAGAGCCTTGGTCCTTAGGTGAATGATAACAGCACGGTTAAGGCAAATAATGAGAATTATTGCTTGCTTTCAAGCAGGCAGCGTGAAAAAGGCTGTGACCCGTCCCCACGGCAGAGAAGGGAAGGTGAGGTCTCACTGCGGCCTGTCCAGATTCCCTCTTACCCACTGCTCACTGCAGGTAGGCGCATGGCTGGCTGCTCCCTGCAGCCAAGGAGACTTGTCTCTGGGCCTCTGGGGAGAGCCTGTTTCTGGAGCCGCTTATGTGTGGCTTCTCACAGCGACCTTGGCATGTGGCCTGCTGGGCTGCTTCTCTCCGGTTCTGAGGCCGAGAGGGGAGAGGCTAAGTGGTTAGTTCCAGAGGAGTTGCTGTGGCTCCCGGTTGGTTGGCCGAAACTCTGCCTGAATCATCCTCATGAACCAGAAGTGATAGTCTTAGCTTATCCCTTTTTGGATGCTGGATTTAAATATTTTATATTCCTGAATAATATGTTAAATGTTCTGAGAGAAAACAACTCCTCTGGAGTGGGGAGGAAAGCGTGGGGAGTGCTGTGCCTCAGGGCTGTGCCTTGGCATGTGCCGGTGAGTGTGCTCTGTGCAGCCAGCATGATGCTCAGACACGCGTCTCAGTGCCACAGGAGCACTGCGAGCACACCGGCAGCAGTCCCCTCCTGCACCCCACCACAGGAGCTCTGCGAGCACACCGGGCAGCAGTCCCCCCTGTACTCCACCCCACCACAGGAGCTCTGCGAGCACACCGGGCAGCAGTCCCCTCCTGTACCCCACCCCACCCACCAGAAACCGTCAGGGGCACATCGAGGGGGCGTGTGTGCTGTTAAGTCTCACTCAGCCCTTTCACATTACAGACAAGGTGGAGGCCCAGGGAAGCAAATAAAACTCCAAGTCCTTCAGCTAATACCCATATTCCCTTCATTCCTGGGCACTGTTGGTTATAGGAAAGAAGGAGAAACTGAATTCAATATATTATTTAATGAAATACACATGCTGAGTTCATACTAATGTTTTCTTTCTCTCTCTTTTTTTTAAATAAGCAGTTTGGGATAGAGTTTTTATAATGGAAGGGAGTTGGAGTCAGGTCACCTGCCTTCCGAGCCAGCTCCTACTGCCCCGAGGCTTGGTGGTTCTCAGATTGGGCTCCAATGCTGGGTCTCAGCCTCCTTGATGGGTCCCCAGGACCCTGCCTCCTATGCCAAGGGTCCTTCTGGTCTCTGTTCCGTGGGACACAATTTTCTGCAGTGATCAAAGATTGCAAGCAGCCTTGGCTGCACTAGACACAGGCCCTGACCCCTGGGGCTGCTGTGGCCCCTACGTGCCCCTCCTCCATAGGCCGGGGCATCTCAGTCTTGGGAGAATCTGTGGACGAGCCGGTGGCTTCCCGACATGGTCACTCTTGGGATCCTGGTGTGGGGGAATCTGACTCCACATGTGGGGGTGGGGCCAGGCACTTGGATTAGACCCTCATGACCCTTCGCCGGAGCTGCTTGGAGCGCCCTGTGTGTACTAACAATATCCACACTCTCCAAATGTGTTGTGACTCTCCGGTGATGTGGTGAAAAGGCAGATTCTGATTTCTTTAAGCAAGACACCATTTTTCTTCTTGGCTTAGAGAACAATTGTGAAGACCACCCCTGGGACTGGTCAGGAAACCTGCCACTGGCATTAGAGTGCCAGGTTTTCACATTGTGCCCCTGAACATTTTCCAAATATTAGAGAGGAAATGAGTATTTGCTGGCAGAGCTGGAGAGTGGTTGGCTCCTCGGCACGTGTGGGCTGGCGGCCTTTCCTTGACAGGACGCACAGATGGCCTTCATCATCGTGGCGGGGATCTGCCTCTGCCTCTACTTCCTGTTCCTGTGCTTCATGGTGTTCCAGGTGTTCCGGAACATCAGCGGGAAGCAGTCCAGCCTGCCCGCCATGAGCAAGGTGCGGCGGCTGCACTACGAGGTGAGCACAGGCCTCGCTCCTCCCGATGTGCAGACACACGCCCGGAGCCTGCTTTCAGACTTTGCTTTCAGACACATGTGAAAAGTTCTCATGCACGCTGCCTGGGCAGAATTAGAGGCTAACTCGTACTCCGAGAAGCATTTACATGTCCTGGCTACATCTTGGCACTCTCTGTGGTATATGAGGTCAATTCAGTTCACAAACTCATCCTAGAGAAAGTGCCACACGCCTCACTGCCGGATACCACTATGGCCACATTTGATCTCGGAACCCTGTATCTGGAATCACCATCAAAGCCATTGTAATATGAGGCCTGATAATTAAGTTTGGGAATTCATCCCAGAAAAAGTGCTTTGAAGGGTGGACTGGACTCAAGGTCACGGATGGGGTGCGGACCTTCCCAAGGGGAGCACTTTGGAGGTGACCTAATGACACTCAGCAGGGAGGCGTGAAGCTTGTTTTCTAGGACGAGTCTGTGAACTTCACTGTGGGACCTCCGTGTGTTTCCATTCTCAGGAAGGAGTAAGCATGTCCGGCAGGGCCTTCAGCTCTGCAGTGCAACGCAGGTGCCCCCCAGGTGGGGTCTGGCTGTGGTAGGATTGGGCTTTGGCCTGGGATTGGCTTCAGCAAGGCTTCCTTTCCCAGAATCACCCTGAAGACTGACAGGTTCCACCGAGGTGACCTGATTTCCAGACTCTCAATGGGCTGCACATCCCTAGAATATCCGGCCAGTGCTCAGAGAGGCTGTAGTAGTCTCTGTTCATGGGTGGTGCTCCTCATAAGAGAAACACTTAACATCCTCAAATCTCCACGCAGGCAGCATGTTCTTGATCTTTTGAGGATTCCGTGGGTTCATGCCTAAGTGGCTCTCCCTGGAGAAATGGACCTAATTCCCCTGTGGAAAGAGAAGCCTCCTGGAGAACCAGAGGGTTTCTATGCCCAGGGGACCTGCCCCTACGGGCCCCAGGACAAGAAGCGTCCCTCTCGGAGACCCAGGTGCTCTGAAACCCTCCTCTCCGGAGACCACAGGCACTTTCCCAGGCCCTCATGTCACCTGACCTGGAGTGACATGAGAAAATTGAGACACACCCACTTCATGTTGATTAACATGCATGTTTCTTTTTGTTCACTGAAGCAGAATTTTATTACAACCGCAAAATACTTGGACTTGGTAACGTGAAGCCCTGGCAGGGCAGTATAACCAGCTTGGCAGGTGAATCAGCAGCCCCACAGCCTGTGCTGAACGTCACTTCCCAGGCTCTGCTATCCCTGCTGCAGGAGAGATAGGAAACAGGAAATATTTGACCTGAGACGGTTTCCAGCTACACTTACCTCTACAGGAGAAATATTACTATGTGAAACCATTTTACTGTCATTCGTAGGGGCCTGGTTTTACAGATGCCTTTACAATTAATTAGCTTTTTATAGATTTATACAGTGAGGAGAAGACTGGTGGCAGCTGAGGGGATCCTCATCCACTTGTTCTCTTTCCCAACAGGGCCTGATTTTCAGGTTCAAGTTCCTCATGCTCATCACCTTGGCCTGTGCTGCCATGACCGTCATCTTCTTCATCGTTAGTCAGGTGAGCAGGTGCAGAGACAGCAAGGTGAGAGTGGCACTGGAGAGGGTCCTCTGTTCTGCACAGAAAATCCCGTAGAGCATCTGAGCAAAGGAGCACAGGGGCCGTAATTCGGGCCAGCCGGCCAGCCTGTGTTTCCTCAGACCACTCTAACCTGGGGCTCAGTGTCACCTGGTCAAGGGGACTGAGTGTTTCCTTTCGTGCAGCTTCCTAAGAGGTGAAAAACACTAAATAAATTAAAAGCCTGAAGCTAGATTGAAGGCACATGTTTCATTTGCTTAAGAGAATAGACTGACCAAGGCTTGCAGCCCCACACTGACAAGCAAGTATTAGTTTGGCGTGATCCCTATCTAGCATGAACGAGGTGCTTCTGGTGCCTCCACCGTCCTCCTCAATAATCATATTGTCACGGACACATGGAACGTAATTCAAAAATCAGTCCCCTTGACAGAACCCTCTCTTTCCAAAACTCAAAATGTTGGTCTGTTTGAAAATCTCAATGATGATAACAATTTTAAAATACTGGTAACCTGTTTTGGAAAGTGGAAAGTGCTGTTTAATGTGTTACATTCCTATCAGCCGTTGGTGCTTCACAAAAATCCTGAAAGGTAAGTAGGGTAGGAATTAGGAATCATTACCCCACTTTGCTAGAATATGAACTCTAATAGCTTGGGAGGGAGGGATTTCCCACTTATGCTGTTTTCTAGCCAGATGGGTTGTGGATGGATTACTTAATAGTTCTAATGTTTAATTTTTTTCACCTGCAATAAATAACAGCAACAGATGTGCAGAAGCTTGCTGCCAGGATCATAAGGAGGAAGACTTGCGAAAGGGGGTTATGTTCTAGAAAGTGTGTTGTTAGCCAGTTGTGTCATTGTGTGGACATAATAGAGTGTACTTACACAACCCGGAGTGGTGCGGCCTGCTACACGCCTGGGCTCCAGAGTACAGCCCACTGCTCCGGGGCTACAGCCTGTTACTGTGC